ATTTAAAAGGATTGCGCTATAGCTGTTAATGGGGAAGAAACAAATAATGTAACAACTAAGGTCCTTCAAGTTGAAAGGATTGCATTTTTGGGAAAATTTCCGTGGTGATCAGACCTGGTATGTTTTGCAAGGATATTTCCATTGAGCAGTACATTTTTTATTCCGGTGCAAATCAAAGGCGATCTGAAAAGCTAAAGCTCCGATAAAATGTCATTTTTTTCGATGAAGTGCATGATTAATTCCACTGATCAAGGGATATAACATTGATTTACCCATTCGAGCACATTCTATGACCAATTGAAGGTTTTAGGATCTTATTTTGATCATAAAAAATAGGAAGAATTTGGTATGGTCATTCGAAAGAAAGATTGTGACTTTTCAAAACATCTACTTTTAGTGAATCTTGGGAAAGATTTATTGAAGTTAGGTGCATCAATTTTTTTATCTTTGTTTACTAGAGCAAGAAATTATCTAAGGATCGTGGTGCTTTGATCGATTTGACTTTGGTTCTTTTTGATCGAGTTTGATTGAGAATCGAAATTTTCATGGGTTACATGGCGTTTTGGGTGTTTATGCCATTAGCAAATATTCTTCAAGGATTATCTTGAATACCGATATGAATTGATGGGAGGGTACTTAAGTGATCTAGGGAGCATAGAAGTGACTTGGAAGCTTGATTCTAAAGTGGGTTTTTTTTTTATAATGGGTTTGTACCTTAGACTCCTTCATTGCTGCTTATTATCATGGTGTCACGATTGGACTTCTTATTTGATGTGTTGCTCGATTTGGAACTTGAATATGTGACATCAATTCCAAGCTTTGAGGGGGAAAATATTAGGTGAAAAGCTTTCCATAATGGATGACTTGATGGATTTGAAGACCCATTTATGAGATGTGGTTATTTTGCCTTGTGACTAGAGATGGAGACTTGTTTGTACACTTATAAAGACCATTGTCGTATTTATTTTATTGGTGTTGTTAGAGATGTAATAATGGGATTGTCTAGTTTGAGAGCTATTTATTTAGATGTTGATCAATATCCCTTTTTCTAACTTTTTTCAAAATAATCAGTTACATATTTACCACTGAAATCATTGTATCAGTTATGTCTTTTATCAATTATGCCTTTCAAATCCGAGTTTTACATCCTCCCAGGTTTGTATCGAATGATTTTATAACCAATCTTTTAATTTCCACAACTTTTTAATATAATACATTTGGAATGATTACTTTTACTACTTCTTCTACTTTATATTGTCTATACATTAGACTAATTAACCTACTTAATAGATAAGCTCTTACCTCATTCTCACAGCCTCATACACAGGTTCTTAACAATACTCATTTAAACACTTAATAAAACTTGATGTGTTTTGTTGGACTTTTCCTCTAACTTTAAACATACATAACTCACTAGTCTAAATTTTGATTTTAACGAATCTTGTATCCATAGAAAGCATACCATGATCTTTACAACTTTTTATCATTGACGTTTTTTTGAATATTTCCTGATTTTGAGTTATTAGCCCATGAACATGGGTATTCATCCATTTTTATAATTTTTACGCTATAAACAAGTCATATTCAAAAGGGCATAACTAAATCACTTTAATCTCTAAGTGACCTGAGAATTTTTTCAGTATTTTATTTATCATGCACACTCCAACGTTCATTTATAGAGATTCTTGTCAATAACTCCAGATCTTGAGTTATGAGGCTCCAAAAATGCTACTTACATCATTTTATATAAAAATCCAATTACGAAATTTATTTATTTCTATCTTTACATATGCATTCAGTACATCGATTGGACTTATATAAAATTAAAATAACTTATAAAAAACCATAATGATTGAATTTCCATATATCTAGCATAAAACACCAAAATACCCTTGATTCACAAATAGTATTCACATGATTTTTCCATTACACTTTTGGGTTAAAATTTGCAAATTTCATTATCTTAAATACACAAAGTTTTTGGTTCTTACGGTACTCTTTTCCGTTGCAAGGTTCGTATTGTCACTAATGGCCACAAATCCATTATTAACGACTGATTATGTCAAGACTTTCATCCATGTCGTCGAACCGGTGACAAGTTACATGATCCTCAATCTTGATGTATCTCACATTTGGTCGATCCACCAGTTTGATGTGAATAATGCATTTGTTCATAGCCAACTATAGAACATTGTTTATATGCATGAATCATTCGATTTTGATGACACTCGGTTTCCAAATTATGTAAATAGCTTCTAGTATTCCATGTATGGACTTAAACAGGCCCTACGAGCATGGTATCAACATTTTGTTGAGCATTCCATCTGGCTCGGGTTTCAATACAACCATGCCAACTCATCTCTATTTATTTACCACTTGTTATATCCCAAGATGTACCTATTACTCTTTATTGATGATATTATTCTCACAACATAATCGACCTAGCTATTTAAGCATATCGTATATGAACTCGGAAGTGAGTTCCCTATGATAGATATCAGGGCATTGAATTATTTTCTTGGTATTTTTGTTATCCGTGACCCAAATGGTTTATCTCGTATGAAATATGCCACTAAACTTGTGCAATGTGCAAATATGATGAATTGCAACCTAATGAGAACTCCCACTCCGACCATTCATAAATTGGTTGTTGGTTGCACACCAACTGATAATCTTACTTTATAGTGCAACTTAGTTGCGGCTCTTGATTACCTTACTTTCACGAAACCCAATATTTCATTTTCTCTGTAACATATATGCCTCTTTATGCATGATTCCCGAGAGCCTCTTTTTCACCCTCTTAAATGTATACTTCAGTACATACAAAGAACTATGTATCACAACCTTTAACTACACTTTTGATAGTCATCTAACCATATTAGTTACTCTAGTAAATGCTCGTGGGATGCCAAATATCAGATGATCCACATTCGGGTATCATATACTTTTGGAAGACAACCTTGTATCTTGGTTATCCAAGAGACTTAGTATTATTTCACATTCTAGTCGACATCAAGGTCGAGACATATTGGATTCATAATCTTCTTTGTAATCTTCACTCCCCATCTACAAAGCTATTATTGTCTATTGTGACAACATTAATGCAGGGAGGAGGAGGAGCAATGGCGGCGCCCTATTGGAAAGTAAACAAGAATATGGAAAGTCTGTATGTGCTCACATCTTGGAGATGAAGTTACATATTGATAGACTAGTAATGTTGGGTTTCGTTTTCCCAAGGAAGCTAGCAGTTGACTTGGTTCTTCAGTCACTTCCCGAGTCATATAGTCAGTTTGTTAATGACTACTGTGTGACAGATCACGACATGACCCTCATTGATCTGACATATTTGCTGATTGCTGCTGAATCAGAAATGATTTGGCGCATTGGTAAAGCAAATTTGATTGGAAGATCTACCTCCAAATTTTCCATAGACATAGGCAATGGCAATGATGATCCAGAAAAGATTTCTTCTACTAAGGGAGAAAAATTGGCCATGGTCGAAAAGTTTGACCATAAGAGAAAGGCCAGGTCTGGGATTATTCCATGTGTCATTCCAAAAGAGTCTATTTGTTTCTATTGCCAAGAGAAGGGGCATTGGATGCAAAGGTGTCGTATCTACCTGAAGGATCGCAAGGATGGTAAAGTCAAAATGTATGACTCTACTTCAGGTAAGTCCACTATCTAACTCTATTAAGTTCCTATTTATAGATTCTTAATACATGATGTGATAAGACTGCATTTTGATGTTTTGTAGGATCGAAGAAAAGAAGGGAAGCTTAAAGGAAGAGTGAGCTGAGTCTGGTCGCGAAGAGATGGATTTTGATCGCATGGTTCGATGATCAGATTTTTGAGCTGCTGCTTAGGAGTTATGATAGATTGCTTAGGAATATTTAGTAACATAGTTTTCATATGAATTTGCATTGTAAGGACAAGTTTTCCGCAATTTATAAATAAAGAAAAAAATTTGGTTATCCTTGCAATGACATTGGTGAGAATTGGTGTTTATGTATTATTAGCAATGTTGTAAATGAACTTGATTCTTACTTGCATCATTTGTGGTAAGTGTCATAGTTTACCAAATAAGGAAGGATTCTCATCACCCAAGTTTCAATTGGACAGAAACTTGGAATCATGCGACTTGTATTGTGTGATGAATGAGAATCTTCATCTTTGGGAAATTAAGACTAATTCTTGGTTCACATGTGTATGTGAGTCAAGTGAAAGACTTGAGGATCCAGTGCATGTTGATGTATATTGGTTAGATCCACCATAAAGGATGTAAGAAACTATTCGTCATGATTTACTAATGGTTCAGTAAATATGGTTATAATTACAAGATTAAGTATAATTCTAATACCTTGAAAAGGTTCAAAGTAAACACTACTAGAAAAACAGCATTTTACGACGCGTAATGCGTGTCGTAAAACTCTCAGACGACGTGCAAATGCGTGTCAAGAAATGCCCTGTCATAACGAGAGACGACACGCTTTTGCGCGTCGTCTATTTACAACGCGCATTTATGACGCACATTTATAACACGCATTTACGACGCGCAGTTATGACACGCAATGCGTATCAAGGAAGGCCCTGTCATAAAGGAAGACGACACGCATTTGCATGTCGTAACCTTACGACGCGCATGTTTATGACACGCAATGTGTATCAAAAACGCCCCTGTCAAGAAAGGCCATGTCATAAATGAAGATGACACACAATTTTTCGTATCGTAATTTTAAATGTTTAAAAAAAATATTATTTATAGATTTACTAATTTTCAAATTAAATTTGCATTTAATGTCTCGTAACAAAAAATAAAATACCATATACAAAAAATACAATCCATTGCATAAAATTTAATGTCATACAAATAATTGATCAATGGAAAGATAAAACAAATCAATAGAAGTTGTTTTCTCCCTATACATGATTATCACATACTAAATAACAAACTTTATTTCATATTCATACATATGATTACATTATTCATTAAAAAAAACATATGCCTACATCTTCGCCTAAAATGTTATTACATGATGCAAGTTGGCCACTTCATTGATGGATCACCAAGAGGAAGACCAACAACTGCCCTAAAATGTTCCATGATATGCCCATACTCATGTCCTGTAACTTTAAACATTTAATAAAGTAAAATACCTCCTAATGAACGAATCCTCAGTTTCTGCACTATCATTCAGAGATACAACCATTAGATACTAAGGTTTTAGGGTTTAGGGTTTAGGCTTCAGTTATGACCATGATAAGAACATATTGAACTCAAAAGCTAAATGCAACCAACCTTGGGTACTTTTGCAAGTGAAGTCAGGTCAGCTTGATCCTCCCCAACTGCTCAAGTTAAAAAGATGAAATATATTAAAAAAATATCATTCTGAAGGTGCAAAATAAAGTATTTGATGTGTTGTGCGTATAATGGAAAAAATGAGAAACACAACATATTGAACTCACCCAAGTTGATCCATTGCAATCACCCTAAAATGTTTTGTGAGAGCATCAAAATTTATGAAGAAGAAGCCCTGAGCAGCTGCATATCCATGAACCATAACAAGAGTTGGTGAATCCTCCTTGCTGTCGAAGGTGAAAGTGTTGATAAACAAGTGCTGATTCAAAATTTCTAGTATCAAGTTCAAGCAATCGCGGTTATTGAGCAATAAGCAAGTACTTGCAGCCAAGGTTTGTTTAATTTATTTATTTAATTGTCAAGGTTTGTTTCCTTGCAGCCAATTTTGTTTTGCCTAAGAACAAGGATATGCATGGGACTGATGAGTATTTTGATCAGGTGACTTTGTTTTTACATTTTAAAAACAAAATCTTTGGCCCGGTGATAAGGCCTTGAACTTTGTCAGATGATTTTGGTTCTAAGTTTTAAAAAAATTACAAATTTACCTTCAAAGCAGATAAATTTGCAGAAATTTGATCCAAAGACTTGTGATTTTGTTCAAGAAGCATCCCTATCTCACCACCAATAACTGTAAAGCAACAGTTAAACTTGTTAAGAATGAAAATCCAAAATCCAAAAGTAGCATCAAAGACATATAATCTGGGTTAAAGTTGAAGAAACAAATTTAAATTTTTTAATAATTTTATTGTGTTTTATTTTAAGTTTTCATTTTCTTAATTAAATTAAAATAGAAGATAGAAAATAAATTAGAAAGGTAAGAAAATTTGTCACTTTAAGTTGTTCATAACCAAACCTTTCAATCTTTCATACAACATACAGGAATGTGAAGAATTGATGGCCAAGAGCATAACGAAAATAGGGCGAGGATTTGATCTTCCTGGGAGAAGATTAGGGGGTATTCTCATCAACAACAAACTCCATCATCACTCTGCCAGAAAGCCTTATCAGCTGCACAAAATAGAGCTCAGATGGGGACACTGCTGCCTTCTGGAACTGAAAAGTCCACTCTTTCCCCTTTATGTCCTGAATTCTTATTTGTAAACCTTCTGATTGATTAATAGGAGAGAAATATGCCTGCACAAATATAAAATATTTCAGTCATAAAATTAGGCCATGGAACAAGATAGAAAAAAGAAAAACCAACCGCCTAATTCTACCCGCATCACTCGCACTCAGAACCTTCTCAAATAATGGAGTATTAGTGCAATTGGAATTCAAGCTAGAAGATATAGTTAAGAAAAAAAACAACTTGTTTTCTTTCACATATATGATATTATAATGGTTGAAGATGAGAAATGAGTATAACAAAATAAGGATACTCCCCAGATATTTGTAACAGTTCTTAATCAGTTATCTTTAGCCAGTACCTTAGGAGTAACTGATTCCGACCTCTACCTTCAGCAGGTGGTCTAGCAACTCTTTTTTCCGAAATTGCCCCTTTGTTTAGTAGTGGTGGTCAATGCATTATTACCAATAGAATAACTTAAAGATGGTTGAAGAGGGATTACTTCATATAATGCTGTCAGACCTAAATCTGTTATGCTATTATTATGATGATCTGGTGCACTTTATATATTTTTAAATAATGTTAGTGAATTTTTTTATTAAAAAAGAGTTAAAACAGAATTAAAACTCAAATAATCTTATAAAAAAGAATATAGATATTCTTCCATGGCATCTTCATGATGCATCATCTCCTGTCAAGCTGGTTAGCGAAAACTCCCTACCAAAAGAATTAATAAAGTTAGGATTATATTAAATTTTGTTTTCAATTAACACATGCATACCTTTCCAATTAACACATCAACAGGGAGTTTTGCTAAATGATACCCAAGAGGTATCAATTCTTCATCACCTTCAACAGCACCAACCTCATGTAACAATGAAATTTCTGAAGTAATGGCTTCTTCTGTTGGAGGTTCAAGAGCCTAAGACCATGGTTACAGGAGAGCTTCTTAGCCTTGGCCATTGGTTCCTGAGAATATAACACCCATAATTTTATAGATAGAAAAACTGAAAATATATATATTTTTTTTTTAAAAAAATTAATTAATTTACCCGGCAAATGGCACATTCATCATCATAAGCTTGTATCTCTTCAGATGTTGCATCAGGGAGAGCCCCATGAAGGGTTCCCAAAGCGATTCTTAACTTAATAAAACCTCTCGTACGCTTTGCAACTGCACTTACCAACGCCTGCATATCACAAATGAAAATAGATTCTTGTAAAGAAAAGTAGCATGATGCTATTTTTTTGTTTGTATTAAAAAAACTTACACGTATATTTAAGAAAAGCATTGCATCGACAAGATGGAATGTCATGCCATGAAGGCGCCATATTTGTACATAATGACCCAGAGCCATTAACAAAGTCATAATATCTAGGAAAAACCCTACATTCCTTAATATAACACTCTTCCACTCCCACAATGAACCTGCACACATAGTAGATAATTTAGATCCATTCCCATGAGATATTTAACAAGTCAATGTGAATCAGCAGAACAGAACGATAAAAATCAGAGGGTCTTGCAATTGTTCTTGCCTGCTGCGGACATATCTAAAATCTTTGATATTTTGGAATTTGTGGTGTTGCCTGCTGAGTGGTGAACCCCTATATCAACCAGTTGAAACCCATGAACCAAAATCGCCTAAAACCAAAAACATTATGAAAACCTAAAACAAAATAAAAGTATATAAATACATAGGTCAGCGTGTGTGAGTGTGTGTGTACCTGTAGTGTTTTGAAAGCAATACTTAGAGGCTCAAAGAATAATAACAAAAACATAGATGATGGTATTGTTTGGTAGATCAGTAGACATGTCCTTATCCTGCAAATACCAGCAAATAATATAAGAGAGAGAGAGAGAGAGAGTGAGAGAGAGAGAGAGAGAGAAGTAAGCATGAATAAGGAAATCCTTGAGATTTATGAAATAGTAGAATTCTAGAGGAAATACCAGACTGCATCGACAATGACAACCAGCAATAAACACAATATACACGGAAGTAAGTCCATGGAGTTGCAGAAGGAGATGCATTCAACCGTTCAAGCCGATCCCGGGCTAGAGCTTGAAACATCTGCACAAAATGATAAAAGTAAAACCCATAAAAAAATCTCCATATTTTCTTCATATCTATACTCCAAAACCATGTGAGGTAATAGTAATAGTACCTTCAAAGAGCATAATACAGTCAACCATGTTGACCACAATCCTGCTCTAACTAATGTTGGTGGTACTACCAATGGAAGAAATGTTCCCTTGTAGATAACATAATTAACTAGTCTCTCCACCATTTTCCAAGATTCAGTTGCATGCAGCTCATCAAAAAATATTGTCTGCATGACCAAATATATCATCAAAAAGAATCAAGACTCATTGTAAAGATTTAGAAAAGTTGAATACCTTAAGAGAGAGGATGATGAGTATAAAAATGTTGAGGACAAAATTGACCACCAATGCAACTGTGGTATAAGAACTCAACAACAGTTCCAATACACGGTTGGCAACACCAGGGTGGAGAAGGTTTTCACCCATCAAACCATCCGACTTTAGTTTCACATAAGAAACTTCTGTCCAATATTGGAGGCCTATAAAGCTCAACACTGTACAAACTGCTGATATTGATAAATACCCCACACCCATAGGATACAATGTAAATTTCATCAGGGCAACAAAAGTTCCACAAACTATAACTTATGGAGAAGCCCACCTTCCCATTTTCGATCAAAACATAGAGCACGAGTTGTACAAGCCCCAACCGATTGGCTTTTGTGTCCCGTCAGCCACCAGCACAACGTCACCTGTTTTTGGGGGTGGTCTACCAATAATTCTATCAAATGCACCGTTGTCAACCATTGGGCTTCCATCACGAAACAGTTGTGTTTTCTCATTCTTCAGGATAACCTTTGCAACACCTGCAAATTCCATGTTACCATTGTGAAGGGTATATGCTAACTGCTAAGGACTAAGCCCATATATGAAACCCATAACCAAGTTTTAAAAATCAGGATTAAACGAGCCTAAGTATGACTCTACATTTCATGATGTGTTTATAAACCTACTTAGCACGCCAACGCCATTCAGAATAATATGAAAATACCCAAAAAAACCCACATAAGCTTGAGACTTACGACTAACAGAAGGGCATTCACATCTTCAGATTTACCTGGGCTCATTGTCATTATATGCAAGCAACAGTAATGTTCCACCTTTAAAATGGACAGAATCCAGAATAACAGGAAGCATCTTCTCAGCTCCTGCTGCTTTTTCGCCATTAGCCCCCCCTTCCATAAGTTCAACAACAATACCTTCAACTTTTAGGACAACCTCCGACTTAATCTTTTCAATGGAACCAACAACCAAGTTTGACCACAACTCTTTTTTTCCAATTCAAAGCTTGGTCAAGTGAAAACTAGTCTGGTCCAGCACAGATGGTGGAAAACAACACGAAAATTCCTCTGCAATGATGATAGGCTAGGGTTTTAGAAAGAAAGAAGAGAGGAAATGTTTAGAGAGAGAGAGAGAGAGCGAAATTCAAAATAAGGTATGGATGATTGTGATCTTCAGAGATGACGTACACTTCTCTAAACCATATCAGGGCGAACCCATACCATCTAGAACTGCAAAACAGAGGAAACGATCATCTTTTTCTTCAAGCCCATAATAAGGTTACTGTATTTTGAAAAGACGTTAAGAACAGTACCACAGCTCTGATGCATCCTCCCCTCGGCCTTAAACTCTCTTCTCTCTCTTTCTGCTCGTTTTTTTCTTTTCTTTCCCATTTTCTGTTCAGTCTTGTCGCACACACACAGACCATCTGGGAAGTAGGACGACGTGAACGATGGTGGAGGTGATAGCCGGCGGTGGCTGGTTTAGGGCTTTTAGAGAATATGAGATATTTTTGTTCAGAGAGAGAAAGTGAAATCGATGAGAATGTAAGCTTCGGTTACTGTATACCAAAAAAACCGATGTAAGCTTGAATGAAAGTAGAATCGATAAGAATGTAGAGAGCCCCAAATTGAAACCTTGTCCAGTAGAATCGATTTGAGAGTGAGTGTTGGATTTATTGCTTCCCTTTCCCGGTTCGCTTACCCTTTAGTTACCCTAGTCGATCAATTCAAGCTTTCACGAAAAACCCTAGGTAGCAACTGATTGAGACAAGAAGGATGGGGCGAAGGTAGGATTGGATCCGATTTCAAAGAGTAACAGTAGATTTCACTGAAAACCCTTTCCCGGTTCGCTTGACCTTTGGTTACCTCAGTCGATCGATTCAAGCTTTCAATAAAAACCCTAGGTAGCGACCGAGAGAGACAAGAGGGAAAGGAAGGAGCGTCGATAATCTGGGCAAGAGGGAAAGAATTAAAAGATGCGGGGTTTTTAATTTTTTAGGATTTCATTTTCCCCCGGATGGAACGCGCGTTCCATTAAAATTTATAAAGCGACATTTTTAGACACACATTTTATTATAGGTGACCTCCGTGTTTTTTTTTTTTTGTTTAGACACTAATTAAGGGCACGCAATAATGCGTGACATAAATCCTTAAATTTTTTTGAAGAGACGACACTTTTTAATGTCACTCTCTTTTGCGTAACATAAATCAGTGAGTGTCGTTGTTTGCGCGTCGTAAAAGGGTCTTTTTCTTGTAGTGAAAGGAGAACGAATAAGAAGAATCAATTAGGCAGAAAGATAAAAGTTTCTCCAATCTGTAAAAGAAAGGAGAGTACTTTAGTATCGTGTTTTATGATCATCCTAATGATTATGGAACCATATCACCATTAATCTTCAATGGACACCTTAGTGCATAAGTATAACTAAGCAGAGGGATGAGAATTGTTGAAATGGTTAAATCAAGAAGGTGAGTCATACTTCGTTCCAAAATCAAGTCCTAGAGTCATACTCAGAGATTATATCTTGAGTGACATATCCTAAGTAGGTTTATAAACACATCATGAAATGTAGAGTAGAAACATTTTCTTACTCATGTACATTTGAGATTGCAAGTTGTGAAGTTTTGGATAAAACAAAGACGAAAACCAATCGTATGAAGTGTTGTTCTTGATGAGAACCCGTACTAATTCTTGAATATTTGTTTGTCGAGGAATGTTCATTAACAAGAGAATCTTATATGTCAGGAGGTCAGTGGGAGTCTTAAAAGATCTTGAAAAGTTTCAAGAACTAATCAAGAATAAACCTATTGTTTATCACTAGCACACGACTTGAGGTCTCCAACCTATCGTGTTGACATATTCTTGTTTCTGTTCCCGTTCCAATTAAGTTAACTATGCATGTGAGATCTATGAGTTCTTATTTGATTACATAAGGCAAAGCACCTTGGTCAATGTAAGTACATTGATCAATAGGGGTGAGCTGCATAGCAACTTGGAAGCAATGGTAGGCCCTTGTGCTACTGGATGGAAAGAAATTAAGATTGAACAAGTTCAGTCCATATGAGTTTGGATTTGTCACAAACCTTGTCTTGTGATTATGGTTATGAAAAATTTACATGGATAGGAACACATACACTATAAAATCTATGTGGCAAAAAGGTTTATCTCCTTCATGAAAATGATTGTGAGGAAATGATTTCACTGGTAGATTTTAAGGAGATAGCAGTTGTGTTAATTGCGTTCTCAATTTTGATTATGATTACGACATCCCTCTTCATAGTTCGAATTGTGAGAAAATGGCAAATAGTTTCAACATTCGGGACTTATTGTTCTAAGTTTTGAAATACTTTAAACACACATATGAGCTTTCTAGTAAAAGGTGAATGAGCTTAGATAAAGACTTTATCGAAGCATCTCGTATCATAAATATGAGCTTTGGTAAGAAAGTCAACAAGTATTGATTTCTAAAAGTCCAGCTGATTTCTAAATACATGTCAAAGCTAGTGGGAGCATAAGTGTTATGCTTATAAGTATGTAATTATTATGCTGGTGGGAGCACAATTATTACGTTAAGTGTTGTGAGTTAGCAATACTATTAATAGGAAACAAAGTTTTAATTTGCAAAGTTGCAGAGTTTGAAAAGTTGTTTCGTTATAGAAAGTTTTAAAGGAGAGGAGCTCATACTTCATTAGATTGAAATTATTAATGGGACATAGTCATGGATATATATGAATGTAATGTTGAAATGTTTCAACATTAGATCTATATACATATATAGAGATGTTATAGCAAAAGACTGGTCTAGTATCATGTCTTTATGTTAGACATTATGAATCGTATCCCATGTGCTTCGATATAGGATCAATTACATATGCTATAATATTCGGTTGTTCTAGTTTCCAAATGCCTAGGGTATTAAGAGGGAAAAGGACTAGAACAAGATATGACTAAAAGTTTTAAGCAACTGTCAAGGACAATCTGAAGTTAATTCACTGAAGATTGGTTTGCTTATGGACAGTTGGAAGTGCAGTAATGGATGGACCATATTGACATGATTCTGAATAGATAGGATTCTGTTAAGAATGGATAGTCATATGGAATATGGAAATGTTTCCATAATGGGAGTTGGATATTAAGAATCTATGTGTAGAAACTTTTATGCAAGAAGGATGTTCAAAGAAATGTACTTTGAATATGAGACTTCGTATCTCCAATGGAATGTTTTGTAATTGGCAAAGTCTCTGTGACTTTGGTACCTAGTCATTACAAAATCATCATTACATAATAGCTTAGAATCTAACACATTCTAATAGCAGAAGAATTTGGTATTCTTACACTTATGATAAGGATTTGGAATTATGAAATAAGCATCATTGGAAATGTTTCCAATTGATCTGTTTCACAAAGAAAGAACCATAGGTAAACATAGTGTGCATGTTTGGAGCATGGGATAACTATTGTTTTAATTCTAGTATTAAGTTGATTAGTCGAAACAATTATATAATGAATAATGTTTAATCGATATGGTGATTAAATAATAAGTGTTTTATTTATATTCAAAAGTTTTGAGACCATATTGGATTAAATTATTCTTGTGTTTCACTTCGCATGTTTTACTTCCCTAACAACTAGGTTATTCAAACATCCACAGTCGATCATGCTTTGGAAGTAAGTAATGAGGAAAGACTGCCATGAATCCGTCTGTAGATTGTCCAAAAGCTTGGACATAGCAAATGTTTGCTGCAGTGTTCATGAGTACTCCTGAAACAGGAATTTGAGTATTAGATTAAACGCACGCTTACGTTAATCACTTCATGGATTTTATCACGAGTGATTGTGAGACGATAATATTTTATATTCTTCAAACAGATACATAAAGTTGTTGTTTACGAGTCGGTTGCACATTAATAATGCGTAAACGCATCAGTAACTTGATGTTATAAAACGTATTGTTGTGTGTGATTCGACAAGTAAATAGTACAAGCATACGAGTCGAAGTTTATCCGTTCCTTTTACCCTTAATGGGATAAAAGCGATATATGTGGGCCCCTCGATGATTTAGTGATGACACCCTAAGCGCTTAGCCAATCCTGGATTGTTTTGATTTGTTGAATTAATCAGTCATCATAAATCGGAAATCGGGAAACAGAACTTGGATAGAGAGAATGAATATAATCCATGTATCATGTCTATAGGATATATTGTGAACGGAGGAATATTTGATCCCTTATCTAAAGGACGCGTTACTGATAAGATCAGAGTTCGACAACGGCTTTTAAGAGCTACGATTGCTAATCAGATTTGAAATTGCTTTGGCAGTTGTAGTTATTAGACTTATCCAAGTGGGAGACTGTTGGATTAGGTGTCTAAGCCCATAACTATCATTGGTATGTACTTGACCCGATAGTAGCATGGTCCTTTTGGGTTGCCTTCACCATAGCAATTTGATAGGATGGATTTTTGAGAAAGAGATTATTTGTGATTTATGAATATATTATATGAATAATATATTAATTGAGAAATCATATTATTTAATTTTTATTGATCAAGAATTAATTTGGAATTAATTTAGCGATCAAAAGAGATTGATTAAATTAACGGAGACTGATTAGGTAAATCGGTAATACTTATAGTTTGGACTAATGATCCATGTTGATTAGGGATGGACTAAATCTATATGAGAGTCCATGAAGATTTAGTCCAAAGGGCCTATCATATGGGTTGTTAGATTGATTAAGGCCTAATCATATGGATTAGGGTTTCCAAGATGAAACCCTAGGGATTCCACACTACAAATACTAACCCTTGCACTCCCAAAATCGACACTTGTGTTCCAAGAAGTAACCCTAGTCGTTTGGTGCCTCCTAACCTCTATCATATTCCTCTATTTGCTTTTGGTGTCTGTGACTTATTAGAGGTATCACATTTGAGGTACTAAGCTCTTGAAAGGCTAAGAACTACAAGCTACAACTAAGAGGTATTCATCAAACTTGATTTTATGTTGTAAATCTCCAATTGTATGCTAGTTAGGGTTTATGATTTGGATGAAAAGAAATTACATGTATAACTTGATAAAACTTAGATCCAAAGCATTAGGGTTGTATGTGCACCATATGATTGTTATAGTGCTCAAAATCGATCAATTATGTCTTATCAAATCTGTTCGGCTAACGACCCACCATCATACAAGATAGTGGTGGGTAAGAGTAGATACCCAATGGCGACCATTTTATAGGCAGCTTCCCCAAACTTCCCTTATAGTATGGCTTTGTGAATGAGGCGTACTGGGGATTTGAATGACTTGTATTATACATATACTATATTAATCTTTTAATTATATATAGTATAAGATGTATTTTAAAACTTTTCTAAATACTAGGTTTAGATTTAAATTTTTAAAATTAATAAAAAATTAATTTAATTTAAAAATATACCAATTTTGATTTAATATTTATCATTTAATTAAATTAATTAAATCATTGTGGATTAAATAATTATTCATAATTAATCAATTAATAAAATAATTCAAATTTAATCCTAATCCTAAGCCTTCTAATTTTCGAAAATAGGCTAGGGTTTATCATGTTTTAATTGTTCAAATTTTAAGTCTTTTAAAATAACAAATAAGGAAACAAGGCAAACCCTAAAAGGGATCCTCAATTTTTGAAAATTACGAAAAAAGGGGCAAGGGTTTCTAAAAACCCTTGTAAATTTCGAAAATAAAGGGTAGGGATTTTAGAAATTTGCCTCCTTAGGGTTTAGTTTCTGCAAACCCTAATTTTGATCTATTCAACTTTGTGTAAGATCAATGAGAACAAGGGCTCTGATACCAATCATGAGTTTTATATGTTACAAAAATCTTATTCTGGCGGGAAAACATAAACCCTAAGTTCACATGCACCCTAAAGATCTATGTTCTCGCTACGATTTGCAAGAAACTATTGAATATCAAAA